AATACCTTTCAAACAATACTTTTTTTAAGCTTTTAAGAAACTTTTTTCAATTTGAATGAAATAAGAATCAATTAAAGATGTTTTTTTTTCAAAGAAATCCTTAATAAATTTTTTAAGCACAGGATAAAAGGTTTTATAAGCATTGTCTGGATTTCCCAATTGCATGGCCAAGACAAGACTTTTATTTTTAATAGCATGAGTGTTGACTTAATGCATATGTCTCTCTCTAGAAACATATAATTTTGTAGCCTTTGTTTTTCAGTATATAAGTCCTTGACCATTTTAAATCCAGATTATTCATATATAAGTAACTAATATCAGTCACACTTTTCGCTTGACAAAATTATTTTTTTTTGAAAAATCCTTTTTGCATGAAAAATGGGATATTTTTACTAAAAATGTGAGTGAATCTTAAGCATGAAGAGTATAGAATTAGAGGGTTAAAGTTAAATTATTCTGAATATAAAGTATTAGACTAAACATACTCAACACTATAGAAACGAAGAACAAGATCATTTAGGAAAAAAAATTGAATTCAACACTATAATCAACGAAGAACCTTGATTTTCTGACAACAACCAACACCCTAGAAAAATTGAAAATAAAAACATTAGAAGAACTTTGAATTATCACCAAAATTGACAAACTTATGAATCAACCAATTCACTATTTAAATATTGAGCCCATAAAATAATTAAAATTAGCCAACTCTAAATTTTTATAACCATACCTAAAATAGCTCCAAACTGTGTACCCTATGTTTGCTAGCATGGACAAAAACTTAGATCTACACACAACCTAGAATAGTTTTTAAAAGGCTGATTAGTTTAATAGATACCCAATAGACATAATTAAAGATTACGATCTATAAAACAAATGGCTTACCCCTTTGGATTGTGGAAGTATCATAAAATGAAATAACCCATGGTTACTGACGAAAGTACTCCGAACCGTTTAGTACTAGGATGATCCACCTTAAGTCATTTCTATGATGGCAAGGGAGACCTTTTATTACTTTATTGATTAATAACCTAAGAATATTAATCCACTCCGGACAATAAAAAGTTATGAGAATCTTGACCAGGGGCGTTATTCTCAATATTTAGATTAGTCCAACAATAGCCTCATATTTAAATCCAATTAAGGTTAGAGATTCACCTCCATCTATAAATCCTTTACCCTTTTTTATCCCTAGTTTAGGATCAAGTCAATTTTAAACTTAATCTTGATATCAAATCCAAATCAATTCTTACTCAACTCAAACCCAATTTAATTCAAACCTGTTCAATTCAAATTCATCTCAGATTCTAACCTAATTCAACTCAATTTTCTATTCAACTAAACCATGTACTCAAATCTGATCTTCAAACTCAAATTTAATACTACTACTTTGACTTTCAAATACTGAGCCCAAACTCAACTACAATGAAATTTTAAAACTCAACCCAAGTTTTAATAAAAATTTAATTAACTTTAATGAAAACTTAATTTAACTTAATTTACTTTAACTTCAAGATAAAAATAATCATAATAAACTTACCAAACTTTATTAAATCTTATTGAATTTAAATCAAATTTAGTAAGTCAAACTTGATTAAAACTTCAACCTTAAATAATTTTAATGAACTCTAACAAACTGTAATAAAGTTTAACAAATTTAATGAATTAAAAAACCTTAATAAATTTAGATGGACCTAATTGAACTCTAACAAAACCTTATAAACTTTTTAGAAGTTTTAAAGTAACCTTAAAATTAAATTAAAACCAAATTCTACCGACTTTAATAAATCTTAATTAATTTCAAAAAGTAATAAAAAAACTTTAAACTTTAAAAATGAATTATAATGATTCTCAAACCAATTTTAAAGACAAATTAAAATAAATCCAATGAATTTTACAAATTAATGTTACAAAACATAAAATTTTTCATTAAATCAAGTTTTAAAATTTTAAACACATTATCAAAATTTAACAACTAACTTAAATTAAACTTTAACTCATAATAAAATTTTAAAATTGAAATTAACTCAAGAAACTCGAGTTGCTCAATTCAAGTGAAGCCAACCTTTATTCGAGGCCATCATTTTTTCTAAGTCTTCAAAACATCTACCATCTCTCAATTAAAAAAGATATAAGATATGAGTTTAATCGAGAGTATTCTCAGAAGTTATTTTTAAAATATAATTAACTATGAAGGAGTCCCCTCATAGGGATACTTGCTCTCATAATAAAATAAATTTTAACATATATCGATAAGGCAAGGGAAAAATCTTGGTTTCGCGGATCCATGAATCATGAAAATTTTCATCATTCAAATGATTAGATCTATTCTATGGTAGTATTGTTATCCTTCAGGTTAGTATATTATTCTTCGAATGTCGTATCCGATCATTTATATGAATTTTTTCAAAATCTATTGTGGATGCAAAAAAAAAAAAAAAAAAAAAAAAAAAAAACACCAAATGTGTATGTTATTAATAAAGAGAAATAAACCATGAGAATATAATATGAAAATTTCAGATATCAGTAGTGGTAGTCATCACAACTACAACATACAATATTAGTGGCAGTCACCACAACAACAACAGACCCATCAACAATAATGATCACAACAACCCTATAAGCCTGAGAAAAAAACTTTTAGATATATGTTCAAAGTAAGGATGAATCATGTTTATTCTTTTATTAATGATGTTGTAAAGATTAAGTTTAAGAATTTAGTAAGAATCCTAGATTTCAATCTCCCTGAGCTTCTCAGGCCTAAAGAATAGGACAAATCAATGAGCCCAACTACTGCCCATTCCATAGAATGCTCAAACCCACTATAGAAGAATGATTCAATTTCAAAAACTTGTTAAAGAAGAGCCATAAGGAAGGGACTATTGTTATCCTTAAATTGTATACCGAATTAATGTTATATCAGTGTTATCATTGGTGGAGACTAGAACCCCCTTTATCCGTATGTAGAAGAAGGTCGGAACGTTGTCCTGTCCAAGCCCTCCCAGAAGATCATCAAGCAACTTAAAATATTTTTAAATAGACTCTTGAAATAACTAAAGTACCTTTTAAACTAGGTGCCTTTGTAGCACTTATGGAGAGGGAAGAAGTGAAACCAATAGTGAAGTCAACATAACTTGAAGTAAAAACCAAAGGAGAAATAATTTGTAAGCGAACAACTAAAGTTGTTGAGAGTAATCCTGCGAGGGTAGTTATCTCAAGTGAGGGCCCTAGGACTCTTGTACCACTTACTCTATATGGCTTTCTCATTCTCTTGGTAACTATCAATGCAAAGAATAGTCGTTCAAGGTATGTTTTGTCTCTTTATTATGAAATTTCATTGATTATCTTTAGTAATTTAAATAGCAGCATGGCTCCTAATAATTCTGACAATATTAATTCTCAAGTCATAGAAGAATCCACTGAAATTCTTATAGAATTAATGACTTTTTTTCTGATAGCGACACCCTTTCTTTAACTTTTAGGATATGCTTATCAAAATTGAGATAGAATTTTTTTGACTCCGAATGATCTCAAGAAAAAGTCTCAAATGCCATGAAACAATAAGTGGATGCTACTACAACTTCGACAAACAAGGTTCTAGAAATTAATCTTCGATGTGACAAAATACTTTTATTCTGTAGGACACTTTCGAAGAAAGCTATCCAAACTAATAGTCTTAGCCAGATACATATCAACATACATATCAACATGCAAGATTCAAATAATGATTTACCCATGATAATGTAATAGATTCTATAATTATTTAACGATCACTTAAATAATAAGATGATTATCCTAATATGTGATAGAAATAAAATTAATTTATGAAATATAAAGCATCCACATTAAATAATTTACAGATATTTAAATTAAGAAAACTTATATATTTAAATAATATTTAAAAATATTTCATACCATTAAATTTGTCATAATTTAAATGACCAATTATTTTTCATAATTCCTTAAAATTCTACTTCTCATTAGAGAATTAATGCTTTAAAAATTAATTTAAAATGTCAGAACATATTAGTAACACCTAAAATGACATATTAGCTAAAGAAACTCCAAATGAACTACTAAATTAAATCATCAACAATTCATCAAAACAGATTCATTCCGGTGTGATTTGAGGTTAAACCGAACCGAGCAATTATAGTTCAAGCTTTAGGCTCTAATTAGGGCAGCTTATCCTCTGCGACAACGTTTTGCAAACACTACCTCACCATTTGGAAACTGCGTTTGAGAAGTTTATCGAAAATGCAGTTGGTTTTTTACACTAAACAAGAAAAGCGGGTAAAACCTCGTGGCACATATTTTCAGATAAACAACTTTTCTAGATAAACACAAATACAACCTCTCCAGCAAACGCATTTTCTGTCCGGACATCTTTCGGGATTATTGAAAATAAATCTAAAATAATCTGAAAATAGCTCATGAATACCTGCGCCGCACGTAGAGCTACGTCAGGAATACGTACAGAAAAATTTTTGCTCCTCAGCAGCTCAATTTGATGCCAATTTTATAACCGTAATAATCCCTCATTTATGATCTCCAGTAGATATTATCTCACAGCTTGCCTTCGTGACTAAGGAAGCAAGCAGATGTCACTCATTTAAGCTAGCAAAAAAAAAAAAAAAAAAAATTACAAAGCTACCACCAAATTCTTATATATTTATATATCTAATATCTTTTTCTTTTTTCGTTGACGCTGCCATAAACTCTTCCATCATTCTACACCATCCATTCGTCATATTACCAAATCATATGTAGTTATACCATCCAGGTTCCATAAACGCGAACCTCGGATGCTCTGCTCCATCGGTTTCCTAACACCAGCAGCGGCGTTTGCAAGAGAGAGAGAGAGAGGAAGAAGCCGATATGAGCTACCAGCAAGCCCCAACTTCCTATCCTCCACCAGGCAGTTCACTTCACTCCCATCTTTCTTTTCATTCTTCATCTTTTCTTTGATCTTCTGGTGATCTGCTCTTTTTTCTGAAGTTTTCAGCACGGATTCTTCTTTAATCTACGCTCCATATTTTCCGCTTTGATGTTCTGATTCGTATGCGGAAAGGAAATGGAGGGTTTGTGATATCGAATCACTGGTTGTAGGCCAATAGATGTTATTTTAGATCGTCTCATGCAGGAGCATCATTATTCGCATTTTCTTCATTTTAGTAATTTTCCCCAAATTATGCCCTGGCTTGATACCCTTCGGCGTTCTAGAGATTGCTGGATTGATTTGTAGCGTATTGATTTTAATTGATGTTTGTGGATGAGAAAATTGATGATTTGGGTTCTTTTTTTTTTAATTATTTGTTTTAGGTTATAGCCATCCTTATCCTCCGCCACCTCCTCAAACTGGCTACGCTTATCCTGGCCCTGCTCCGCCTTCTGGGTTTTATCCTCCGCCCCCGCAGCCTCCGGGCTATCAGAGCTACTTCAATGATGACTATGGTCAGCCAGGACCACCGCCACCTCAACCTCCTTCTCAGATGTATTATCACCACCATCACCAGCATGAAGATGACTCCTGCCCCTCTTTTATGAAGGGATGGTAAGATAATCGACAAATACTTTCTTTTGTTCTGTTGTCAATTACTTCTCCTGTGGAGATGTGACATGCAGTGTGCTTCTATTTGCGTCAGAGAAAATGCCTAGTTTATTTAGCGGGTGTAATCTATGGTAAAAGAATGCCTGCACTAAACTCTTGCATCTTGCTAGCTAGAATAGAACTTATCTCCCACAAATTATGCAGAAAATGCCTTAATTTCTGCATATAATTATAAGGAAATGCCATCATCAATCATATAATTTCCCTGAAGCTGCTTAAATCATGAGAAATCTGTTTTATTTATTTATTTATTTATTTTTTGATTTTGCTGCACAGCATATATTTTGAGGTGCGTACATTTGGTTTTGGAGCACATATTTATTTTGAATAACCGTGAGTTGATTCTCCAAGAGTGTAGCTATGTCAAAGAAATGGGAAAAGAAGCTAAAACAGGATTTAGAAACTTCGTTCATAGAATTTTTCTATTGATACTCTTCTGTTGGATTTCTTCCCTGTAATACTATAATCACCTGAGAAACTACATTCATACAATTTTAATATCAGCAATTTATTCGCAGGATTTATTCATGGCTTATAATAGGCGTTGAGATAATGATCTATTGCAAATTCTCATCATTCCTAGTTGTGGCTACGATACAATTCATGGCCAATAAGGAAATGCCCTCTAACATGTCTTCTACATTGCTAGAACTCAACCCAAGTACACAAACCTCAAAAAATATTGTTTCCGGTGTCTGAAACTCCAAGGTGATTTATAATGATACTCATAGGAAAATTCTATAAGTTGTTGGCAATTGAAAAACAGTTTGGCCACTTTTCTTAAAATTGGAAGCCCCAACTGTTGACTCTTTTTCAGAATCCTTGGTGTTTTGAAAAAATAACCCCTTGGTAGTATAGGTATAATAGTGGTAAATTTCTCTGGCATGGGATGATGAGATAAATTCCCTGGATTGATAAGGAAATGTACGTTTTAGGAGCCTCAGTGTATTGTTCCAATCCAAAGCAACTTGGAACTTGTAGTTAGGGGTGTAAACGAACCGAACACGAACGAACAAAGCTTGTGCTCGTGTTCGGTTCGTTTAAAATTTAGTTTGTTTGAAATAAGCTCGTGTTCGTTTCTTAACGAACGAGCCGAACACGAACCGAACACGAGCTGTTCGCGAACGACGAGCCAGTTTGACATCCCTAATATTAATATATAAAAATAATATTATATATTAATTGTATAACTTATATTATATAAATATACAATATCTATATTAGTATATTACTACTATAGTATATTAATATATTATTATTATTATTATTTTATTATATATTATAATTTATAAAATTTAATGTTTTAAAATATAATAAATTTTTTATATATAATTATTTTATATTATTTTATATTTCAAACAATAACGATTCGAACACGAACGAACGCATCACTGTTCGTGTTTGGTTCGTTTAACTAACCGAACGAAAAAAATTTGTTCGCGTTTGTCTCGTTTACTTATCGAAAGAATCGAACACGAACTCATTGACGAACCGAACACGAACTGTTCGCGAACAACAAACTTTTTTGACAGCCCTACTTGTAGTCTATGCATAAATCACGTGGCAGACATATTTCTTTTGAGGACCTTCCGACAATCTGAATTATTGATAAGGTCGATTAGAGATTTTTAATGACATTGCATTGGATTTTTAAAATGTTTGTTTTTCTAGTGTTTATCTTATTGATAGATTTTTTTAATATTCTGATGCCCAATTGTAATTAAATGTTCAGATACATCACTTCGTTTGTTTTGTAACTAGTATAAGATATAATGAACTGTATTGATGGAAATTTTTTATAATATACTTATGTTACCTGACTTTCTCTTAAATTTTCCTTTGAAAAAAAATATGAATTGGATTCTTATGTATGATTGACTAATTAAATCATGAATGATTATGATTTTATCATCCGATCATGATTATACCAAAGTTATTTAAGACATTGATATTTGACCATCTAATCTATTGACGAAGGCTTAAATTGGTGGTTATTCTCAGGCACACCATCATGAGAAGATTTAAGTCAGCATATTCTATCAACAGACAATTCAATAATTAAAAGTTTAATAATCCAAATTGCGAGGTAGATAAATTTATACCATTAGATGAAAATTGAAAGGACAAAAAGTGTACTCTGTTTGCTAGTCCAAGTAGCTTTATATAGACGATCAATCCTTGATGTGAACAAGATTGAATTGTTCTGGATATGATTGAATTTGAATTTGCTTTAATAAATTTTATTTCTTTATATTTTATTCAAGTTATTGTTGCTTATACCGTGTAGTCGGTTTAGGAAAGAACAAAGCTGAATCACAATTTAAAACTTTTCCAAGTAAATTTTCCCTCCCACACACAGGTTTTCAACTTTAAGAAACTACAAATATTGAGATTTGGAGATGCGAACAAATTTTTACTACTGTTTAGATGCGAATAAAAATTGAAGGCAAAATTTTTGAAAACAAAATGAGACTCTAAATCAAAGGGAAAATTTTGCAACAAGAAAACGTTGCAATGTACCTTTTTTTTGATTGATGGATCTTAAGGCTTCCTCCAAATAATTTTCTATTTGTTTTCTATTTGCTGTTGTAATGTTCGAGAACCTTTATTTATAAATTTTTGAAGTTTTGTTTTAATATTTGATTTAGCTTGCTTATTAATCATTTAACCACTAGCTAGGTAGATTTAAAAACAACTAATCTCTATTTGAGCTCTTCGGTATGTTGCCTAGTAATTTGGTTTGTTGCCAAGAGCCATGTATGGTAGGCTAAATGGTTGTTAGCAGGGCTTGAATTGTAGTAGTTATCATGTGATGTTTGGAAGAAGATTGTCAGTATAAATTGCCTAAGTAGTCTTATTGTTAATTGAGAGGCTTGGACATAAAGGACTAAAGCTGACTATTGTATGTTGAACACTTTTATTTGGAGAAGAATCTTTGGATACTTCTAGCAGCGAGTGACCATGATCCACTCTACTAGATCAAGCTTCCAGTTGTTTTTTTGCAATTTGTCCCTTGAAATGTTTTTTTTTTTTGCTTGAATGATAGGAAGTGAGATAAAGAAGAAGAATTAGAGATGCCTGGATGTACATCATTTGTTTAAATTATAACTCTTGAATTATAGCATCCCATGCAATATATAAGAGTTGATCTTAGCCAATGAAGGTGTTATTATTTCTTAACCTTAGTGATGAGTGAGGCTGTTGGAGAGTTTAGTCACCGTGATTAAGGGTTGAGTGGAGAGGGAACTTATGCATTAGTCCTTCATGACTACATTTTGGTTGTAACTAATTGAAATGTAACACTTTTTCTGTCTTTTGAGTTGCTTTTTATTATTTCGTAGTTTCCTTCTACCTTGATTGTTGCATAAATTGTGTTAACACTTTTGTGATGCTTAGAATGCTATGTTGACAATTTGGACATCTGGATGAATTGAACCCTTGTACCACATGAATGTGATGGACATGTGTATGAAAGTGCCTAGTAGAGGTTGTTTTGGAAGGCAATGACCTTCATTGTAAAGTATTGAATTTACAAATGCACGGCTAAGGATATCTCTTTGGAAGGCTGTGACCCATATAAAAGCTTGGATATTTCTAAAGACTCGTGAGACCCCACTATGACACAACATTTATGAATATGGTATTATCAAATGCATAATTAAATGGATATGTACATCATATTCTTGTGATTGATTCATTTGAGCCCTTGTTAGGCTATTGAGAGCTTTAGAATTTTGATATTTCCTTGCACTTAATGATCCATTTATATTAATAACTTTATAATGTTTTGGTAATTCTATTCTCAAAATTTATTTCACTCCCGTTATTTATATCTCCAATGAGCAGTCGACTGTTGGCGGGGTGGGCACAAAGAAGTTTGGGGGAGTTCATGCTTAGTAGAGCAAAATTTTGAGTTAATCCTACTATCTATAAGGCTTGTGCTTCTAATAGTTGAACTCCGATTTATTTTGATATAAGGTCATGGGTACTCTATTCTTCTTTCAAAGAATCTCTTCAATTTTAAAATGCCTTGATTTTTTATTTCGTTTAGCCATTTGGATATTCTTACGTCTAATTCTCCTAAACATAAATATTACTTGCCATCAAGTAATTTAATTCATAAAGTTAATGATAGTTTGAAACTTAGGATTTGAGGGTTCTTTAGTAATGAGGTAATAAGTCATTCAAGGTGCATAAACCTCTTCCTAAGATTGAATTTTTTTAGAAACCCCTAATTTCCCAACATAATTCGTGTTAGTATACTTTCTATATAATTACCCCTAAATCACTTATGCATTGTTGACTAAAATAAGATTTCCTTTCAAATATATATAATTCAATTTGACTAATCAATAAAATAATGCTAATTCAGTTATTATCTCCTTGAATTCAGTATTTTGAATTTATAGTTAAGGAGGTTCTTTTTTTCCTTACTTATGTTAAGAGAGTCGATGTTTTAGATTCTACTTTTTTTAAGAAAGACAAAGGTAGACTTAAAAAGACCTGGGCATATTGTATAAAAACCGATCTTAATCTGTTAAAATTAAATGAAAATATGACACTCAATAGGACGCAATGTAGAAAGAGGATTCATGTAGCCGACTCCACTTAGTGGAATAAAGGCTTTTTGTTATTGTTGTTGTTGAGGTTCTTGATTCTCTTACTTTAGAAAGGGTGTTGGTACTAATTTTAAAATTCAAGCTTGACCTCAAGCTTTTTTTCTAGAACTGCTAAATAATTTTCTTTTTCACTTTAGCTTTCATAATTTTTCCTTTTCTTTTAAATTTTTACTATTTTCCTTCTTAAATTTCATCGATGATTATTATATTTAGTTAAGCTCTTCTTTAATGATTTTGAATACCAACTCTTTCTTTGGCTAATTCTCAGTTATCTCCTAACTTATTTTAAAATATTGAAATTCAATAGATTTTAACTGAAAAATA